CATCCCTTCCAAATAAACTGCTTTCACTCAAATCTTTTCCTCCAAGTCTGGGACTGCTTCTGGGGAGATCCAGCCTAAGGCAAGTTCTTACAAGAATCAAGGAATTGGGCCCAGTGTTCATAACAATGCACGGGACAGAGCTACTGACCCAAGGAGTCCACAGTGCAGACAGGGAGATGAGATGTGCAGAATATGCATAACATTTCATTTTCTAACATTTAAACATCCTGCTTAGTTCCTCCCCCACCCCACTCTGGTCCAGATGACTATTATATTTAGAGGTAGTAGAGCCAGCCTGCCTATGAGAGATGATTGTTAGATCTTTAGGAATTTTTCAAGCAGTTCATTAAACAGTCATTATTAAAAATTACATAAACTTACAATGAAATGGATTATATTAAAAACAAAGCTAACAAATACTAAAAATCACTTCCTAATTATTTCACTTTATGTTACTGTTATACATGCTCTTGAGACTGTCTATATTGCATCTACACGGTTGAGTTAGATGGTATATAGTGGTGCTGCTGCAAATTTCTTTCCATCTTTGTCTTCAGTGATTCAATAGTTTGAAATCAGTCTGCTCTGATGGAGTATTTACACCATAGAAATTGGCAAATGCTATAAATCAGGGAGTGCCCCCATCCCCACCCCTGCCTCTGAGAGCCAGGTATTAAATATTTACCAGCATAACATCAATCATATCTTGCCTGGAATCTTGCAGTAGCCTCCTAACTTGGGCCCCAGAATCCAGTTACACTGTCCAATCTATTCTGTGTGTGGCTGCTAAAGCGATCTTTGAAAATGCAGGTCAGATTGTGTTGCTCCCTTGCTTAAAGCTCCCACCTCTCCTTGGCTTCCAATTATGTCCTCATGCCTCCCTGGTCAGGGCCCTTCCTGCCTGGGGATCCCATGCCTTTCTCTCTCTTCCTCCTGTGAGCTCCAGCCACACAGCCTTCTTTCTGTTCACTGAATCAGCTTCTAAGCTCCTCCCTATCCCAGGACGTTTGCACGTACCCTTCCTCTTCTGAGTCAAGAGCAGCTTTATCTCATTGTTTAAGTTTCAACTCCACTGTCATCTCCTTCAGAGAGGCTTCCTCTCACCATCTTCTCATCCACGGCACTCCCCATCTCCAAGTCCCCGTCCTTCTCCATCGCATGAGCCTGTTCTCTTTTCCTTGTAGTCCTTGGCACCATTTCAATTCATCTTGCTTGTTTACTGGTTGATTTGTTCACTGTCTCTTTCTCCCCTAGAATGTGAGTTCTGTGAAAGAAGACCCTTTGCCTTGTTTGTGGTGGTCTCTCCAGCACCCAGAACAGTGACTGTCACGCCATGGGTAACCAGCTGGAGTCATCCGTTGGATGAATAGATGCATGTTGCTTCTACCTTCTCCCCTCCCCTTCATTTCCCAGCCCTCCATAATCTAGCGGCCACCTTACTGTCCACTCCCTCCTCTACAGCTATTTCCCCAAGGTCCCTGGTGATTCCTGAGTTGCCACATTTAACACGCACCCCAGGCTTTATCTTGCTGGGTTTCAAGGCTACATTTAACAGTGCTGCCCATTTCCTATTGTTGAAACTCTCTTCCCTCCCTGAGTCTATCCTCTCCTGATTCACCTTTTCCATCTCTTCTTCTTGGACTCAGCAGTAGAATGTATCACTGATGCCATTTCTTTACCGTTGCCCATATTTCCCTGCCCCTTGAATCTAGGCTCAGACCTATACAAATACATCGTGTGTATTTCTGCTTGTTTTCTTTGGCTTCATCCACTGCCTTGAGAAAGGAATGTGCCCGCTAGCTCACTGATCCCAGGAAGACAGGATGAACCAAGTGGGACAGAACTTCTAAGATGCCCCAGCCAAGCCCAGGCCAGGGGGTTCCCCACCCTCTACCACCACCAAGAGACCTACAAGTGAGCTGGCCAAGATCAGCCAAGCCCCAACTGACCCACAGATGTGTGAGCTCCAATAAGAAACCATACTTCTTTTAAGCCACTGAGTTTGGGAGTGGTTTGTTACACAGCAAAAGCTGATTGGTACAGACTCTTTTGTGGGTTTTCCTTTCTCTTCCCAGGACTCAAGCATTGGCTTTCTCCTGTTCTCTCCATGTGCAGCTCCCAGCTCTATGCGCAGTGTGTGATCATTGCTGTCCTTGGGGGTTGAACTTCAACTGGTATGCTTAGGTTTCCCAACTGTATCACTGACCTTGACGTCAACCCTTGAGCTTTGGACCCATAGGAACAATATCTCTAGCTGGACTTTCCTCGGGGTCCTTGTCTTCAACAAAACAAAACACAACATTCCTCCCAATTCCTGGGTCCCACCTGCTCATTCTTCTGTGCATCCTGCCCCAGTAATGACACCACCATGCTCCCTGTCACTCAGGCCAGAAATGGGGGCTCACAGGTGGCCCCTCTCTTTCACACCTGGTGGTCACTAGGCCTCACTAAATGCCCCTCGTGGAGAACTTGCGCACCTCCCGCACCCACCACTGCCTCCTTCAAACTGTCCTCACATCTCACCTGAGCTTGTACGATGGATGGTCTCCCACCTTAGCGAGTCCCTGACATGGCTAAGCATCACGGTCACCCAAAAGAGAGAGTGAAGGGAGTGATCATGGCTGTTTGTCACTTATCACAAACCCTTTCCTGAGTTGCCACCATCAGAGGGGTAGGCTTTATTCCTGCAGGTACAGCACACCTTCCAAGACCTGGCACTGAACGCGGCAGTTGTGTGCACCTGGACCCTGGGGCCAAATGCTCGTCCTCCGAGTAGCCCCATGACAGCGGGCAGGTCACTCAACTTCTCTGTGCTTCACTTTCCTCATCTCCAAAACAGAGACAATAACTATATTTCCCTTATAGGGTTGTTCTGAAGGTTAAATAACTTTACAGATTTGTAGGGCATCTCAAATGATACCTGACACATGGTAAGACCCAAACATGTTCTATATTGCCACAGGGACTTTTTTTTCCACATGACATTTTATTCTGTTTGTCGTTTGTCAGCCTTTCATAGTTGTTGACAAAGCAAAACCTCTTTTGAAACTGTAAGATATTTTCATCTTTCTGCCTACTCTTTTAAAACATTTGCAATTTAGTAATAGAAAGCAAAGCACTGTCATGAGTTAATGGACCATACTAGGTAATTATTCTTGTATGTTTAATTTTTTCCAATAAGAGTGCTTTATTTGTTTTTAATACACAACTAAAACCTAATGTGTCCTTTTTTTTTTTTCTGAGTCCAGTTGATGGAAGTATAATTTGCTTCCAAACCAAATTCACCCTCTTTAAGAGTGTACAATTCGATGAGTTATAGCACAGCCACATAACCCCCACTATAATCAAGATATGGAATATTTACATCACCCCGAGAACAAAACGTTCCCCTATTTTCCAATCACCTCTGGAGACTCCTGTCCTCTTGCCCTCTCCTTCGCCATTCAGGCTTTGGCAACAGCTCCTAGCTTTCCCTCATCACATTGCATGATCAGATCATCATGTCTCTCTTTGCCCACACTGTTCCTCACCAGGTGCACCCTTTTTGGCCTGGCCTCTTCCCACTTCCCCTTCCAGCCTCTGCTGTCGCCCTCTGCTCCCCTCAGTCTGGATGACTCCCCTGCCTGGGGGGCTCCCCAGATGATCACTTAGAGCTTCTCTTTCTGACCACACCACTGACTTTGTGTTGAAATGACCTGTTCACACCTGAGAGCCCCGCACTGGATGGCCCTTGGGGGATGGCAGGGACCTGTTTCGGGGACCTGTTTCCTAGGCTCTGGAGGCTGGACCGTGGGCTGGGCTCTTTGTCGAGCTGCTGGGAGGCTGCATGATTGAGCAGATCTGGGCCTGTGGTGAAGGCCTGACGGGGGGATGCAACGCCTCTCGCTCCCCTGACAGGCATCCCCTGTCCACCCAGTCCTGGGGGTAGTTCTGGTTTTTCCAGATCCGCCCTGGGTGAGCTGCAGAGGCTGCATGGGGCTAAGGGTGGGTGGTCAGCAGGGGCAGCAGTGGCTGTGAGAGCCAGGCCACCTCGGGGGTGGGCAGGCCAGCCCTGGCGGAGCCTGGGGCAGGGGCAGTGATGTCTCTGCTCAAAGTTGCAGGAGGGTGACAAGGCTGGGGGTGGGAGGCTCCCAGCACACCGAGGGGCAGGGCCCAGGGCAAGACAAAGGCTCAAACCAAGCTTCTCTTCCAGGCTGGAATGAATGTTGTGCTGAGGCCAAACCCAATGTTGAATTGTGGGAGGGAACAGACCGGGAGCCCCTTTTTTGCAAACTCACCTCACGCCTAGGGACTTTGTAATTTAATCATCCATGCAACTGTATCTACAGAGCACGTGTTTCCTGAGCCTTCTATTCCGTGCAGGCACCGGCTCACAATGCAGAAGACATGGCTGGGGCCGCGCCATACCCTCTATGCATTCACCAGTCCGCCACGGGCTTCTTGCTGCAAGGCTTTCTCTGGCCAATGGAGCCTTGGGGCTACAGTTCTCCCAGGAGGAGCCCTCACCCAATGAGGACTGGGAGTGGATGGATAAATAACCATGTCTTTGCCCCTCCGGTGGGACATCTTTGGGGTGTGTTTCCCCCAGTGTCCCAGCATCCCCTGTGACATTGAGCCCTGGATGCCCACAGTAGTCATTTGCTTAATATTGTGCTCCCCCCACCCCACTTCACCACCGGTTTCCTAGGAGCATCCCCCAAATGGATTACTTGAACCAAACCCTCCTGCCAGGATCTGCTTCTGGGAAAACTAAAACAAAGACCAATAGCGAACAAGCTAAAGGAGGTCCCTGACCCCGGACAGGCCCTCGAGGGCAATTGGGTTTTTACCGGATCTGTGTATCACTCTAGGCCGCTTGCCCAGCCTGGCAGAGTACACCAGGCTCTCAACAAACACCAGTGAATGAATGAATGAATGAATGAATTTCCTCCCTAAAACCCAGACAAGGAAATAATTGTGCTAGGGAGTATACCCATGTTCAGAGAGGTTAAATGTCTTACCTGTGGTCAGGTTGGGCTAGTTGGTAGTAACTGCCAGCCAGAAAGCTGGGATTCTTGACTTTTACTTCAAGCTGGGGCTCACTGCTGAAAAATGACTGAGAGTTGAAAGCTAATCCAGGTTAATTCCTGCTGATTAATCATTAATGTGCTAAGAAACTGCTGAGATTAAAAATAGGAATGAACGGTTTCATTTCAACCCAATCCCTCTTTATTCCCTCATGAAGGCTTGTATTTTTCACATCTTTCTAACGACTACAGTACCAATGACAAACAGGGGTTGGGGGTGGGAAATTGTCCAAGGAATAGATATCAGGCACAGGACTCCGCAGCCACAGGGGCCAGGGAGGTGATGTGGGGCAGTTACAGCCCTTTTGGCCTCTCAGAAACCTTAATTTACAAAGAAGCTGGTTTTGATTCAAGTTCAAAGAGTTAGCTTTAAGAGATACAAATGGTTAAAAACCAAGCCTAAAATTATTTTAGTTGAAAGATTTACTTGACTATGAAGAGTGTGGGCTAATATTGGGGGAAAAGTCATGTGATGAGGAAGTATCAGTTGTTCAGTTTTCTGGGAAATGGGTGAGATTTCCTAGGTCAGAACCCCTCACCTTCTCCACTACACAAAATAAAATGCCATCATAAGGTGGACTGTGATTATTGCTCTGCCAGCTGTGGTTTGGACAAGTATCTCAAACAGACTGTGCCTCAGTTGTACTCTCCCTAACAATGGGTGCAATGACATCCACTTCAAATGCCTTGTGCTCCTTCTGGCTTTTCCACCCTAATTCTTCCATTTACTTAAAGAAATTCTTTCCAGTGCTGATTGCAATCTCTTTGAAGATAAGAACTTGCCCTGCCTAGGCAGACAGCACTACTTGTCCTCACACTCAGGGGCCTGAGGGGGTGCTGCTTCGCGGGAAGTTAGTTGGGTTTAAATAAAGCAGTTTTCCTTGTTTGTTCAAGGATTGAGCAACCCTGCTAAGGGTGACATACGCTGCTATCTCAGCCCCATGGTATCCAGAAGCGTCGGCCCGGGGCCGTCGGGATTCGAACCTTTTCCTTGCTGCCTGGCCAGAGGTTGCCCCATGTTAGCGACTGCTGGGAGCGCCGCGGCCCAGAGTGGGAGGAGCCAGCGACGACCCCCCCGTGGGCGGGGCATTCCTGCCCTGTCCCGCCCCCGCGCTGAGCCGAGCGCTGCGCCGCTCGGTCCCGCCCCTCCCAGGGCCCGCCCCCCACGGCTCCCCGCAGCTCCTCCCCTCTCCCATTGGCCGAGGTGGAGACCCTCCTCTTGGCCCAATGGCTGCCGCCGCGGCTCGGCCGCCCGCGTCCTGACTGGCCAGCGACCGGTAGAGTGACGGGGCGAGGGCCAATGGGGAGAGGCGGCTAGATGAATGGCTGGCCCGGGTGGGGAAGGCAGGAGGCGGCGATCCCGGCGGAGGGGGCCGTTCGCCAGCTCGGAGGCAGAAAGTGCCACGACTCCACACGCGCGCACGCAGCCAGCGAGCGGCCAGAGCGGACGGCAGACGGGGCGGGCGGCGTCGGGGTCGCGGTGCCTGCAGCTGCTTGGCGGCGGCTTCTCAGTGGAGGCTCGGCCGGCTCCTCTCTCCCGGTTCCGCGGCGGCGGCGAAGGCGGCGGCTCCTGCCCTCTCGCTCTCCCTCTCGCGTCTCCGGCTGCAGGTAAGAAACTTGGCCGGGCCCTGCAGCGGCGGCGGCGCGCGGGCCGGGCCGTCGGGGGACCGGGGCCCGCCGCACCGAGAGTGACACGTCTCCTTGGCGGCCCCTCCCCCGGCGGCGCCGGCCCGCCCGCCGTCCGTCGTCGCCGCGGCCGCGGACCCTCGGGGTCGGGCTTGGGGGGGTTGCTGGGCGACCCCCCTGCAGGGGCGTCGGCCGTGCGCGCCCCGCGGCGTGGACACCACGTCCCTCGCCGTGTGGGACCTGAGGCGGTCCCGAGGCGCGACGTGGCGACCCCTCCCCCCCGCCGGGCCGTCGGGCCGGCCCGCGCGCTCCGAAGTTGGGCGAAGAAAGTTGGCGGCGGCGCGGGGCGGCGCACAGCTGGCGGAGGAAGGGGTTAAGTTTCGGGAAGCCGCCGGATGACGTTGCCGGGCTGGAGTCCGGGCCGGAGGGGTGGGGGGGCGGGCGGAAGGCGGCGGAGGCCGGCCGGGGGGAGGAGGGCGGGATTGAATGGGGGGCCCGCGGGCCGAGCGCGCCCGCCTGCCCGCCGCAGCCTGGAGGCGCTTCAGGAGGTTGGGGCGGCCTCCGACGGGGCGAGCCGGGGCCGCTGGGCTCGCGGTGTGAGGATCCGGGGGGGCTGTCCAGGCCATGGGCGTCCGGTCGGCCGCGGTGGCAACTTCCCGGAGTGCGGGAGGCGGCTCCCTGCTCCCCCTGGCGGCGGGGCCGGGGGCACCGTTTCCCCGGCGGGGCCGCGCGGAGCCCTGCGCGAGGGCGCCTGGCTGGGGACAGGGGCACCCGGGTCCCTGCCCGGCCCGCCCCGCCCGCAACCACGATGAATGGGCCGGCGGTGCCAGGCCCGGGCGGAAGCGGACACCTCCGGCCCGGCCGGCCAAGTGTGCTGGCGCCCGGCCTGGCAGCCGCCACGGTCCTCCAGGCTCCCTGGCTGAGCCCTGGGTAGGGGAGGGCAGCTGGGGCCCGTGCTTCCATAGGGGCGTCAAGGATGCTTCAGGGACCTCTCCCCGGATTATAAATCGCAAGTTTTGGTCCTGTGTAGTGTCTTGGCACCGTTGAGGGTGACCCTGCCAAGTTGTTTCGTTGGGGGTGTCCATTTCCTTGTCTGAAAATCGGGGCTCCTGATGTCTTCTGCTTGAGAGAAAACCTGTGGAGACCCAGCACATGTTTCGGGGGCATGCGGAACCTGGAGGAAGCTGGGTCTGGCTCAGCTTGCCTGCGGCAGACTACAGACATCGCAGAGCCAGGAATCCAGACCCTAGGCCACACTTACTGGCCCACCTCACCTCTCAGGTCCCTTAGCCCCTCTGAACCCCCGTTTCCTTGTTTGCAGCCTGCAGATAGTACCACCCACACACGATGGGGTTGGGGGAAGCCACGCAGGGAAGTGTTGGGAACTTGTACAAACAGAAGGCAGTTTGGCAATAACTCCGGGAGGTCAGAGGTTAGAAGAGACTGGGAAGCACCAAGGAAATGAAACTTTGAAGGCTCTGGGGAGCCTCCCATGTTACTATTTGCTCATCTATTCACTCAGCTTGCTAGAACCTTCAGGGTAGGGGCTATCTGAGTGGCATTTTCTGGAATTTTAGGGAAATAGGTCCAATAGGGCCTCACATACCAGGCTAGATATCTCTTTAGAACTGGTTGTCCGCAGAGACCCAGGTCTTCTGTCCAGCACTCCCAGGAAGAACAACTGCAAATTTTACACCAGCCCTATCCTGTGCAGTCTGAGAGCATTCTCTGCTATCTCTACCTACCTCCTTACACCCCTTGTTTGTCTTAACTTCCTGTTAATCTCACACCCAGAGAAATCTGGGTGATCCTGCAGCATGCTGTTTATTGTGTTGATGTCTTAATTCCTTTATGAACTTTCCAAAGGTCAGTCCCACTATGGTCGGCCAACCTATTTCCCTTCCAGAAAGAAGCTTCCGGTTCTGAGGTCCTGGAGATGCCACTTCCCTCTCTATTTAAGCAAAAGCGGGGGCAGACAGCCTAATAGGTTAACTTCTCCCTTTACATGGAGCACTGCAAAGCTGGCTTGCAGGGCTGCTGGTCCACTTGAGACCTGGAGGAGGCTAAGATTGGAGGGCAGGGGGACAAGAAAGGTGTCTTGGGGTTTGGAAGCAGAGGGTTCCAGTGGATAGAGCTGCATGCACTATGTTATAACTGAACTCTTTTCTTTCATGCTTAGGAATCAGCCTCTGAACATTTACAGAGATATTAAGAAGTTATAGTGGTACCATGGCATATGAATATTTTTTGGTGATGGGAGAGTTTTAAATAAATCCTAAATCAAGTCACATTTGAGCAATTATGTTCTTTGCTGAAATGAGCCCTAACTCAACTGGCTGCAATAATTATATAGTGCCAAACTCAGTTTAAATGGTTGAATGCAAATGATTGAATTGGAATATTGGTTTATTATGTAGCAGGGACACCTTTTGAAAGTGTCAGGACCCCAGATTCTTCTTACTTGTTCTTTTACCCCTAGGAATTTAACTAATAAATGAATGGCACATAAGCTGAGAGTCAGCTGTTCTTTTGAGACATCAGATTTTTCTTTGTTAAAATCTTGTTTCAGGAGGTAAAAAAAAAAAAAAAGGTCAGAATTATGATGGCAGGGACTGTGCTATCCATCTGTACATCATGGGCCTACAATGATAGGCTCAGCCTGTAACATAACAAATATTGATTAAATAAGGTAGACAACCATACCTGCTAAAATATTCTCAATAGTTATCCAACTATCTCATTGCATAAATGAAGCTGAGCCCAACTTAATTGTTAAGGCTTACCTTTTAGAATCAGATTCCACAACCTTTGGCATACCTTTAGGCATCATGGCAGCCCTATTCTATAGTGTAGGTATGGTTGTCACCCATTTGGTGAATGACAATGTGGAGGCCCAGCAGGTCAGGAGTTTGTCAGAACAGTCCGTATTGCCCAGCTGCTAAGCAGTGTGGGCTTAGCCATCTGAAAGTTCACCTTCTGAGCCTTATAACGCCACCTTCCTTGGTTCTGTATCTTCTGAGGGAGGATAGAGAACTAAAAGATCAAAATTAAAGGCTTCAGTGGCAGGAAGGTGGGGAATCATTTGAAAATGTGGCAGTGCCAGAAGGTATTTTTCATTTCGTTTTTTCATCAAATGTCTCCTTGTGTGCTGGGCCTTCAGAGGCTGTAAATACAAATGAGAGACCACATTCTTGTCTGAAGAAGCCATTATCTAGAACTGTGTCCAAAATGGTAGCCACATGTAACAATTTAAAGTTAAAACAATTAAAATTAAGTAAAATAAAAAATCCAGTTTCCTAGTCACATTAGCCACATTTCAAGTACTCAGTAGTCACACATTGGTCAGTGTGGATTTAGATCATTTCCGTCATCACAGAACGTTCTGTTAGATAGCGCTGGTCTAGAGGTAATTGATATTCTCTAAACATTCAAGTCTCTTTTACTCTTGATTATATAGAAATATTATGTTGAACCATATAAAATTGCCCATTCTTCAGGTCAAAGACAGTTGACTAGTTGCAGTTAATACATTTCAACCTAATAAGATATTACCTTTAGAAATCATTAGTCCCAACTCTTTGTGTATATCATAAGCTGCATTCCAAGAAAAAGGGGTTGGGGCAGCACAGATAGTGGCCCTGCTCTGGAGGATTTAAACCTAATACAGCATCAAAATGGTCAAATGTACCAAAATATTGAAAATAAATAGATACTAGGTAGAAAGCATATGGCTTGTAAGGAAGGTAAATATTTAATTCTAAGTGAGAGGGCCTGGGCAAGGGGGCCACTTGGTGTTATAGAAAATTAACTCAGGGACCTCCTAGGAGACTGTTTTCTTAGGCAGACAGATTCTCCTGAAATAGGCAGCCAGACTTCTGAGTCTAAAAACTCGACACATCTGTGTTTCCTTTATGTGCCTTAAGTGACACATATCTCCTACCTGTCTAGCAGTGGACAGCAACTTTAATTTATAAAGAATGCTTTGTAATTTCTAAATTAGATTATTTTGACAAGACTAAAATACCTGCCTAGTCGCCAAACCTTGCAAGTTCAAAAATACTGGAGTTCCAATATACTTGGCTGCCATAAATTGTTTTCTAGGCAAGTGATGATTTGCAAGGCTCTGTTATTTATACTCCATATAACTTTGAAGAGATCACTGGGTAGTATTTGAGAAGCATTTTTGAATTCTTAGTTGTACTCATTGGCTCATCTTAGTATTAGTACTCTGTGTAGAATAACATAAAAACCAAAGTTTAACTTTATGAAGAACCAGAATGATGGATGGCTACTTGATCTCTTTTTGGTTAGAAAGGAGGCCCACTGAGACACTGGAAGTTATCAGCTATTTATAGTGATAATGAATATCATCTGCTGACTCAAAAGTTGGAATAAAAGACCATCTTGAATTCAAACCTTTAATTCATAAACTAACCCTGGGAAGGTACAAATAAACAAGGTCTGTGTTAGGCTGTCTTGAGACAAGGTCAAAAGTGGTACTCCTGCAAGGACTGAACTTGGCCTGCACATGAGATTTGTTTCGCTAGCCCCCTGTTATTAAATAATTGAGCCACCTTTTAAAAACGGAGATTTTTTTTCATTAAAATGTAGATTTGTGGGTTCTCTTGGGAAAAATGGGAATTTCTGGCCACATCAGTTCTTGTGGACCGTGGTTGCCCTCTCTGGGCAGGGCCTGTGCTGTCTTTCACAGCATCCTACCCTAATTTACATGATGTGCTTGGGTATTGGCAATCCCTGAGGGGGCTGGAGGGCGTCCGAGTGCTACTGGACTAGTCACCGGTGTCTCCCACTGAGGCGCAGTCTGGGGCAGTGGCAGAAGCACTGGTTGGGGGTTCCAGTCCCAGAAATAGGTGGTGTGGCTTTGGACGTGATTTTTTTCCTCCCTGGGCTTCAGTTTTCTCCTCATGTAAAATGAAACTAGGCCAGCTAGCTCCATCTTTCAGGCCACAAACCAGGTTTAT